GGCGGTTCGCCGGCTGCGGGCGGACTGGCGCGCGCCACGCCCGGACCTCCGGACGCCGAGCCGGTCAGTTCGACCGGCGAGCCGGCGGAGGAGGGCCAGCACGAGCGACCGGTGCGCACCGCCAAACGAAGACTGGAGCGCGGCCAAGGTACGGTCGCCGCCCGCCGTCGCTGCCGTGTGGAAGTGACGCGGTGCTCTTGGCTTTGGCAGCGCTGGGAAACTGGGTGGACGACTGTCCAACCTAGAGTAGCTGTCTCGGTCATCTGCCTATGATGCATTAAGTACAGGAATTCAGCACTTACTGAGGTGTATGGTTATGCCTGAACCGTCTGAGTTCCTCGGTCCCACTCTGAGGGACGCAGAGGTCACTGCGTCCCTACATGGTCACAAATTGCTTTCTTTCTCTGTGATATGGCACTGGCAGTTGAAAGGAAAGGCCTGCGTCAATAAATCACTTCGCTGTCATGCTTCAGACCGAATTGTTCACATTATGCCTGATTAGTACACGATGTGACATCCTCTGCACATCAAGGCAGCGGCCCTCCGTGATATCCTTATTGTCTGTTTCTTACGCACGTATCCCTTGTGACGGTCGTTCAAAAGTGAAGCACACTCCTGACTAATTTGGACACTGGTGGCTATTGGCCGCCCGCTACTGTACGCTGGTGTCGCTCGCCACTGTACCTCTGTTAGGCTCCGACCGTGACCGGGCGTGTGTGTGTGTGTTGTGTGCGTGCCGGCAGACGGGGACGCGGGAGCCGACGTTCGCCGCCGGTGACCTGGTGTGGGGCTCCAACCACGGCCTGGACTCGTGGCCCGGCCAGGTCATAGAGCGGACCGACGTCGAGGTGAGCCCTCCCCGGCCCCCGTACCCTCCCCCCCCTCCCGCCCCACGGACCCGGTGCTGCTCCCCACGCCTGGTCTGCGATCGTGGCAGCTCCGTGGCCCGACTCAGGCGCGCCAGGCATCTGTTGTGAGGTCGCAAACGGTATTTGTTGGGCTGCGTGTTTTTCTGCTTGTAGTGCGTGACAGTGGCGCACGTGATATGACGTGTCCCAGTCAAAGTGGATCGGAGTTGCTGACGGGTCGTGTTTATGTTCCAGGCGAGCGACGCGTGCAAGGTTGGGGTGCGCTGGTTTGGTGATCACACCATGTCCCTTCACCACACGGCTAAGCTAAGGAAATTTCACGACCACGCCACCAGCAAAGATAAGAAGTGAGTGCAGTATACGGGCTAATGGGGGGGGGGGGGCTGACCCTAGTTTGCGGGCGTGCGCCGACCGTCGTGCCGTTGCGCCTAGTGGGTGGGCGTTATGTTCGATACATTTGTGTGCTTGGCTTCCATAGTATGAGCAGCAGTGCGTGAAAAATGATGCTAGTCTGGATGTAAAACAGTTCACAACGACCCTCTTCGTCAGTCGCTGGCTTCAGACGTCTATGTGCTTCGCTGCAGATCTCAAGCCGTATCTGCTGCACCCTTCGTGCTTGAGTAGTGGTCCGGCGAAAGTTGCTGCCGATCTGATGATGCCTCACACCCTCAGATCTCCCGTGGAGAACAGCAGTTTGAAGAGGCTCTACAGGAGGCGCTGACGGCGCTCGAGTGTCAGCGAAAGTAGTAGTTAGTGATGATGTCAACAGGTGGCAGCTAATACCGAGTGCAGTCGTACAAACCGGAGTCAAGTGATGCGCGGCTCTCTAGTCTTAGGAGGGATCTGATCAAAGAGCACACGTGTCAGTGTTTTTGGCATATGTTTTTCCATACTCTCAAAGAGTTCGAATTGTTTATTTTTTACTCATGTAGTTCGGTACATGTCGTGCGGCGTGATGAAGTGTTTGGGGTGGATCTGGAGTGTTTTGGAGTGACTGGTTTTTACCCTGTACTGGTTTTTACCCGGCGCGGTGTCTTATTTCCTCCAAGACATTCGAAATCTGATTTGATTAGACGTTATTTATGATTTCCTGTACTCTGAGCGTCGCATATTTTATACGGTAGCGGACACCAAGGCACATTTTGTCTATTTCACCGTACGGAGCGTCGCGTGCACGCGCCGTCTGTCGTTTGCGTTTTGTTGGCGGCGTCCACGGGCGGCACGTTCAGATGCACCAAAGAGTCGTCGCGCGAGCCGGCGGGTTCACGGGCCGGTCCCAGCTCTCTCCGGCCCCGGGCGTCTCCAGTACAAACCGACCTGTGTTATTCTCACGCGAGCCGTGCCGCGCCGGCTGCCGTGGCCGCGCAGGACCGCCCGGGACCGCCCGCTACGGGCGGCTGACCCGCCGTCCCACTCCAAGTGGCCTTAGCTGTCGCCGCGGCCGCCGTCCGGCCGCCGGCCGGTCGGTGGCGACGCTGGCGCCAGTCCCGTCCCGTCCCGGGTGCCGGCCCGCTGCGCCGGGCCGCGCCGGCGTGACCGCACGCTTCGCACTAACTCCACCGGCGGCGTCCAATAAAGAGCGGCGCCCCCGAGGCTGAGCTGTTTGTGGGCCGGATTGGCTAGTGCCTGGCGGCAGCCGCTGCAGGCTTCGTGGCGTCTGAGAGGACCAGCAACAGCAGCAGCAGCTGCCGCTGTGCTGACGAGTCTCGGGGAGACGAGATTCGTCGTTTTGCGAACGAGGCACGAGGCACGTTCTAGCTCTTGCAATGCGTCTAAAGCGTGCAATATGACGCTGTTCTCCGGCCCATAACCGGGCGCGTTGTCGATGCCTGCTTGAAGAGTTGTCAGTACCCACAACAATATTCAGTCTCAGACACTTCATGTAAAATGATTTTCCACACATGCGGGGACTCTGCTGGGTAATGTCTTCGGCAGTATGTTTTCTGCTGGCGTCTGTTTAGCGACTGATCGGGAGCGAGCTTATCATTCTCAGCCTCCACTCCCCATGTGGGCACTCGCAGTGTTCGCTGTTGGCCTTCTCCAATCCACGTCCTTGCCGACCGGCAGCTAGGCGTCCTGGGGCCCGCGTCACGGAACCATGGCAACGGGTCGCGCTATGAGGCATGTGGGCCGTTTATCTCCATTTACCGATCATGCTCTCCCTACCGTGTCTCCTGCGCCGGCTGCCTGAGCCGCAACTACCGCGACTGTTACCAATTACCCGGACCAGCCCAGCGTTCCGCGCCAGGGCCGCCTTCCCAGTCCTGTCGCCTGTCTTGGTCATCCCGGCGGAAGCTGAGCAGTGCGCGATGGTGGTGTGCTTGAGATTCGCACGATATTAAACACTTACCTTTTGGTGAAGCAAATAATGCTGTTACAGAATGTCCCAGGTACCCGTGTCTGTCGGTTGTGAAAGTGGCATGACAAAACTATTGTAAACGAAATCAGCCTTGCCCTATCTCTACCTTGACCTGTCTCGCAGTACCCGTTTCAGGTATTATCCTGGTATAAACCTGTTAGTTTAGTTTTTCCCTGAACTAGCGGAAGCTCTTATTTGAACAAGCAATTTCAAGCTGTCTTATTCCGACGAACTGAAATGCAACACCTGGTTGCACAACCTTGGCTGAATTATCAAAGCGACAACAGCAAACTCATGGCAAGTGCTTTTCAATGGTTCCACCGGAATAAAACATATTCATGCAAAGTAACTCACTGTTACTACCACACTTCTACGACACATATTAACAAACTTAGGCTGCAAGCTGATCCAGACCACGGCGGTCGCGCCGATGGTTTGGATGCCCTGGCCTCGAGAACGCCGGGGCGACGGATGGTCGGCCGCCGCCTAAGGTCGGTGGCGTGCGGTCAGCCAGGGAATATTCCGCTTGGCCCGTGGGGGCCTGGTCACGTATGGACGAGGCTGGTCTTCAGCACGGAGGAGCCTGCTTCACTGGGCGAATCTGACATGTTCAGATCTGAAGGAGAGTGCACTGTTGGTGTGGTGGGCCCCCTCCAGGGCCAATCGCATCCCCCCCCCCGGAGAAGGGGGAGGGGGGGGACTGTGAGCGGAGTTCGCTCCATCTAGATCCGTCGCGCCTCCGCGGCCCGCCGTCTTCGCCGGCGTGGTAACATCCCGCAAACTGGTGACGCGCGGTCTCATGAAATGTTTGTGTTAACTTCACGAGTGGTCACGTCGACGACAGTCCCGCGGTAACCGTGACCCGCAACACTGAGCACAACTCAACTCAGCATGACTCGACACGGCGCTCTCCACGCGGAGCGCGGTGGGCATAAATTTACGTTTCAGCACCCGCTTAGTACCAGCGTGTGCTAGGCGCCAGGGCCGGTTCTGCACAGGCCAGACCGCAGAACATGAATATCACAGCCATTCCCAGCGCGCTGCGCCTGAACGCCGCGACGTCCTCCGTCCCCCAGTCAGCCAAGCACTGCGATGCCCGCTTTGTGCCCAGGGCGCCAACAGCTAGGCGCTCTAGGAACACATGGGGGTCGACATCTGAGTGAGAAACAGACGGACCACGGAGGCCCTATGTACGGACGACTCCGGCGCGGTTGAAACTGCATTTGATGTCTGTGCGCGCGGACACCCGTCTGCGGGCAATCTGCGCACAGACATCGGTATCCCGGGTATGTCGTCGGTATGCCCCCGGTGCATCCCGTGTCGTAAACTCTCGCACACGTTTCCGCGGCTCGACATGTATTACCGTCGACCCCCAGCTCCACACAACATCGCAAGCACGTACATAAACAACATAGCCGGCCCGCACAATCGGGCATCATTGCGCACACAGGTGATGGGGCCAACCGAAACCGAGCACATGTCTCGAAGCTCTGCCGACGGCATTTACTGCCGCCAGTTGTACCAATCAGCAGCAACCCGTGGTTTACGCACATTAATCATCTGGTCGCTATGATCAAGGAAACGAGCATTCACCCAGAGCGAACATGCTCACAAAAGCAGTACTAAGAACTAAGCACGCACTATTTATCATTTTGGTGCGAGGCCTCGCGGCCACTTCTCTATCTTAGGACGCAGGTGCTCCTTGTACATCTGGTAGCAAACGCCCAACGTCAGGCAGCTGACGACGAATCCTTGCCGCCCCCACGCGCATGGGATGAGGTACAAAGACAGTGGCACCTCCTTTGGCTTGTTTTTCAACTGGTACAAATTGTAGCCAACAATTCCCACCAGACCTCCCAGACCTGAAAAACACAGAATAGGTTCCTCAAGATCTGCACTGGTGTGCTGGTGTCCCACAGAGACAAAGGCAATGGCCGTTTCTATTATTTTTACATATTTGATCCGAACATTTTTGATCAAATGAATTTTTGACATCATCGATCACACTGAGTAGTAATTGTTTTGTGCATCCTGGCCTAACGACCTGATGTCAGAGGTGATTTGCCTCACAGCTCTTGCAATATGCAAACAACGGTTGCAAATTTCCAGTCATGATGTTGATGTTGCCAGCTGAATAAAATGCTACTTTCACATTTGTCCATGCCTTGATCCTCAAAATGCTGCATCCCTACCTCACATTTGGTTCAAAATTGTGCAGTACCTGCCACCATGAAAGGGGACTCCCGGATTTTCCTCCCCAGCTTTGATTCCTCAGGCTGCTCAAAGGTGTCTTGGGGAATGCTTCTCGATGGATCCATGGTAGCTGACAAACCTGTGGATGGTAGGGATATTGCATTAGTGACTTTGGCTTTCCTGCTCCAAGCATGGAATATGACAATACAAATGGGACACATGGTTGATTATTATTTAAAGCTAATGGAATGACTATTGCTTTAAAGCCATGTTGTGAATGGTATTGCAAAATACCACTCACTTGTGTATGCCAGAGCGACACAGCACATCATTAAATAAGGGCCACTCAGTTATTCATTGCAAAGATTCTATGAACACATCTTTGAATATTGTCATAGCATAACTGAGCCACAATCTTGGGACACTCTTGGAGAGTGGCATGCAAACTCCAGATTACACATGGCTGTAGGTCTCAAGTTCCCAGCAAATGTCCAGCAGCTGTTACTCATGTAAGTCACTGGCCACTGGCATTTCAGGGGTGCAGATTATTGTTCATTTGAGAGGTCTCCAGCCTCCTTTCCTAATCCTAGCTCTAGCCCTCTCTGTGACATTGAGAGGAAAATGTGCCAAATAGATGAGAAAATAGAGGCAGGCTAAGCTTTTGCCAAAATTTCCCACTTTCATGACATTCCTATGACAAAGCACAGCCACAAATCAGGTACAAACAGTGATGGCAACATTCACAATATCCTGCTGACATACACCACTAATGGGATGCTGGCAAAATGACTGGTTTTCTGTTTTGTGTTAATACCACATGGGTCTGCTATTACTGACCCTCTGCCATGTAAGCAATGACATTTTCATGGCATAACATTACTCACAGTTGTTATATATATCCACCTTCTGCAGTCTGTCAACTGCAGTCTAGACTACAAAAAGAGATACTATGCTGAACATAATATTATGATGTTGCAAAGGAAATTTCTGGCAAAAAAAAAACAAAACAGGTTAACAAGCAAAAATTGTTGCACAATTCAGAAAATCAAGCACCATCTGGCCTGGCTTGAGTCTGGTGTGTGATGCTTCTGGTTCTGCACACAGGTGTCTTGTACCTTTCTGGTACAGTGGATGATGCTTTTCAGACATACTTGGCTCCCATAACACTGAATTAAGTTAAGATGTTGATTAAATAGGCTTCTGACACTGCAGCTGGATGGCAGTGTGTATCCCCCATCATACATATGGGGTTCAAAAATATATAACCACTACTTAACAAAAATGGTAATTGTATATTAGAGTCATTAACTATATTACATTCCTTTCAAAATGTGACTGATTGCAACATACTGCAACAAATATATGTTGTGTACTCAGACCCTTGGACATACTTGAATTTGCTAAGCCAGATGTACTGCACTCTGCAGACTGACTTTGGAATGCAGACTGTGGCTTGGAATGCCAGAATGATGTCACACACAAAAACTCATTTTGCATTTGTAAACTAACTCCCTGCATTTGTAGATTACCCAACTGATTTGGTCATGGTACATGTTGGTACCTAATGTTAAAAAAGAGCATTGTACATCCATCATCATTTTTGAGGCAGAACATATTGTACATAATCGTAAAACAAGTACATTTATGCTCTAACCTTGGAACCTTGGCATTGCTCAGTGTGGATCATTCTATTTGAAGAACCGTGCGAGGAAACCTTGGAAACTTACCGATTTTGCAATATATTACGGCTTAGCTTTTCCAAGAGCTATTTACACCGGTGATTCCATGTTAATGCGTGGAAAACGTTCTTGGAAAGGTGTTTGGGCTAAATATTGCTTTACGTGCCAACTTCAAGTGACAGGAGGGCAGGTAATCTCAATGAGTGACGTAAAGAAGTACATATGTAGTGCGTGTCTATCAACGGGACTCTCCAACGTCCATTCGGCACTGCCAAGACAACACTTACGTCTAGATGGGTGCGACGAGTAATCACACGCCGCTACCTATCAGGTTATTGCTCTTAACACCGTAACGCCGCGACCTGTCACCCAAGCTTAGTGCGGATCGCTCTCCTCGCAGAACCGTGCGAGGGAACCATGGAAATTTACCGGTTGGGCAATATAGTACCGCTTAGTTTTTCCAAGAGCTATTTAAAACACTTTAGCATGCATGTTTCAGGTGCAATGACACAAAAAACAGCTGTTTGACACTTTACCTTAACTGATCATAATATTGTTTTTATTTTGTTTCTCATTATGACAATAGCCTAGCTTATCTTTCAATTTCTTTGTAGTATTTAATATAGC